GGAATGAAAGTTTTCTTATAATCAAATTAACGAGATGAATCCACTGAAAGGTTCTCACATTTCAATGATTCATTGAAAACCTTCTGGAAAATGAAATAACTCGTTGAATTGAGAAGATGCAACTGAATTAAGTGGATGGATCGTCACCAAATGTCAACTAAACGACAAACCAATTTTCAACGAATCGTACACCACTTAGAAATATTTCTCAAACAAACTGAATGACAATCAGAACCAATGAATAAGTGCGATCAAATTAACTGTAAGAAAAAACAATTGAAAATTATTGTGCACGAAAGCAATAAACATTCGAAATATCTTTCAGCTGGAATGACTCAATAATGAGAGAGACTCTTCAANCAATCAGAACCAATGAATAAGTGCGATCAAATTAACTGTAAGAAAAAACAATTGAAAATTTTTGTGCACGAAAGCAATATTCATTCGAAACATCTTTCAGCTGGAATGACTGAATAATGAGAGAGGCTTCTTCGAGTCTAGATAAAAAACATGAAGAAACGGACGGAATATTTAAGATGAGTGGATTAATTATGGATGATGCATTGATGCTATGAAATTTCAGATAATTCAGTGTTTTTTTCCAGATGAATATGAGCAGTTTCAGATCAAGGTGCGCAATCAAAATTGCACATTGGTTTACTTCAATAAGACAATTCTTCCGACAAAATCAATTTCGGTTAATACGAACGAATGTTTACGGATATGAAAATAAAGCGGTCAACTGTAACATTCCTAAATTGATTAATTACAATATCAACACAAATACACATACACACACATAAATCAATCCGCTTTACAATACTACTCGAAAGCTCACTAATCCAAAGCACAAACTAAATTCAATGATTTACATTACCTCATTCTCTCAAATGCTCTGCTAGAATTACACGACATTCAACAAACCACATAAAGCATTCTTTGCACACTCCTTTTGCTCATTAAACCCGACTGTGTCATAAAATACGTGAAGGTGCGCTGCACCGCGAAAATTTTGAACGTGAAGAAAACTGAGGACAATCATCATCAGTACATTGCCAACAGTGATAAGATAGCACTGATAATAATAACAACAATCGAAATTATACTCATTATTAATAAACGGTAATGATAGTAAAAAGTATTCGGAATGCTCACTTGTATTATGCTTCACATCGGTGGCTGTTCGATAGTTTCGATCCTTCCGGGATCGTCTCCAAATTTCTGTCATCTTATCAGTGAATTCGTGTGCATCAATATCCAAACGGAACTGCCAAATGAAGTTGAGTGAAGAGTGCAATTAACCGAAAACTAAAATAAGAATGGAATTTAAATAGAATCCGACATTCTAAAAGGAACTATCTGACCGCGTTAACGGATCACATTATGAATTGAAGAGGATGGGCTGCTTTCGAAAGGTCTGCTAGATGCGATAAACACTCTGTCGTTGTGCTTGAATGTATATCAACATCTCGAGCTAACGGACTCATGCTAGATTCGTCGTTGTTCAATACAAATTCATATCAGGATATATGTTCGAAANCATTATGAATTGAAGAGGATGGGCTGCTTTCGAAAAGGCTGCTAGATGCGATAAACATTCTGTCGTTGTGCTTGAATGTATATCATCAACATCACGAGGTAACGGAATCATGCTAGATTCGTCGTTGTTCAATACAAATTCATATCAGGACATATGTTCGAAATGTACGAATCAACCACCTTACTTAAGTCGTCACAACACAGCAAAAATTACTCTGATATTATCGCGCGATGGAAAAGTGACTTGTTTGAATGAAGTGAAAAAATAACGTAAACGATGCGTTTTTCGTTGACACGCTGAAGTTGAATGAAATCAAACGCGGAAAATATGCATTACAATAATACACTGTAAAAGACACGTTCATGAACAAACAACCACCAAAATTATCTCGAATACTTATTGCTGCCTGCACGTGAATGATGTTAAACTAAAGTTCATTCCACACCGATCTGTTAGTGACGATTCAGATCGTTGCAGATCCTCCTCTATAGATCATGAGCAGGCTAATTTCTACAGCAAATTTCTAGACAATGCCAAAATTTATGGATATATGAATGGTCAGTCTCAATCGACGATTACAACTCATAAAACGTCGCCTGCTAATCGAACTCGAATGCGAATGCGATGGGAATCGATCGCATTGAATCATCCATCGTAAGATATCCAACCAAATATATAGTGGTAATAGCGATCGTCGTCATTCAGAAATAATCACGTTCAGTGCATGAATCATGCACACACAACAACTATAGCAATTCACCATTAACCAGCAATTACCACTCGTGCAATGTCAACATTTATTCAGCTTTACTTCAGTCAATTTCATCACCAAAAAACAACACATCAGAATAATAGTAACTGTACACTGAATATCCCACAAACGAAGTGAATGTCTTTGTTGGAAGTAGTCTCATAAACAATTCGTTAGGAATATTCCAAGTCAAGTGGACAATATTCAATCAAGAGGTGTGGATAATAGAAATGATAGCACTGCTTCTAATAGTAATGAATAAATTGATAATAGTGGAATGAATCATTCGATGGTGCTATAAAGCACTGAATGATACGTGAATGATACTGCTTGTTCGCATTGCTGCATAAATATGAACGAGTAAATGTTGGTGTTGTTATTCAATTCACTCAGGTACGAACAACACTGTACTTTTTGATAGCAATTATTGAATGCTACAAGACGATTACGGTTTGAGTGTAATGTAAGGAGAAGTGACATTTGTGCCATTGACAGTCCTACTAATTCGCTTTTATCAATCAGCCACTATATCGATCCGTAATCAATTCGTAAATTTAATATTTTCAACTACCAATCATTCACTCACTCTCTTCTAAAAGCCTTTATAACGGTATCTGTCATCTGTTCACCACAACAAATACCAACCAACAACCATTGAAATCTTGTTTTCTCAAGGAAACACACTCAAAGCCAATGTTTCTCTATTGAATGTCCTTCCGTTGATCATCATGTGAAAAACACAATGCAGTCATTCGAATAGCCGTTGAAGTGAATGCGTCGTTCGTTCGCAAGAATGTCTGTTGTCCATCTCAAACTATTAATTTGTTGTTGCTGAATTAATCACACAAAATGTTTCACAAATCACCTCCCATCCACTGAAAAAAACAACGTTATCTCGAATGCCTCACTCGGCAATCTAGGAGACTGACGCACCAGGCAGTCGCAAAACAGAACTTCCTTGAATTTTCCCATGCAAAGTGTGGTGAGCTAGCAACGTGTGAGTGTGGAAACGCCTTGAAAGACTTCTTCATCACATGCTGCCAGGGAAACGTCATCCGAACGATTTTGTCATTTCGTCATCATAATTAGAAACAAAATAACTTGCGCTATACAAAATAAATAAATAAAAATAAAATAATTTTATCCAATAAAAATTTGCAGTCAAAAATCGACAATCAATATCAATCAACTAGTAATATTAACAATCAATATTAATGAAATCATGAAAGACTGTTCAACAGGTTCACTATTCAATCTGCACAAATACACTATCCTTTACCATCATCATCATCATCATCATCCACGAATGTCACTTTATTCGTCTTCTCTTTCCTGAGATGAATAATCANACAAAAACTAATGTCTCATAGCAATCAGTCAGTAAAAGATCACCTTCTCGCAACCAAAACACCTTTCATTTGGCAGAGTGATTTCTTGAAGTCAACTTCACGAAATTCAATCGATACCACGTCACCAACATTTGGAATTGAATGCACAGTAGCGTCGATCGGTGCAACGAAAGTTATCGCGTCGAATATTTTTGCTGTTATCAAATACTGTAACAGTGACGTAATGACACTAATGAATAAAGATAATAATAAAAGAAATGATAATGAGTGCAACTGTTTTCAGTCATACAGCAAGCAGTACGTTCGAAAAATCGTATCCGAAAATGATTTCAAATAAATTTTGTACTGAGAATGTGAACTGGTCTTTTTTGAATCTTTTCCGGATAAAATGTATTGGTAGCGAAAACGAACCTTTCCAATGGACGCAACAGTACATCTATAAGGATGACCGACCGTGGGATGAAAGACAATCATTTTAACACTCACATCCATATGCATACAACGTTGATCGGCAATTATTCGAGGATTTTCATCAATTTTGATTTTTTTAATGCATAGCGGTACGGCGTTTATTCTGGAAACGATAACAAATCTTCAGAGCGTTCTGAACACGGCATG